TTCAGCTGCTGGGAACGATGCCAGCTTTTCCATCTCTCTCTGCTCTTAACTGAGAAGCCCTCAATAGGCACATGGCAGGAAACCCAGCCTGTACCCACGACTTAAGGTTCCCCTAAAGAAGCACAGGTGTAGAGAGGTTTGGTTTTTTTGTTTTTCCATTTTTTTTGTGTGTGTTTGTTTTTATACAGGGTCTCACTATGTAGATTTGGTGGGACTGGATCTCTCTATGTAGATCAGATTGGCTTTGAACTCACAGAGATCCAAGAGTCTCTGCCTCCCAAGTGCTGGGATAAAAGATGTGTGCCACCACACCAGACCTAAGTGCAGACTTTGATTGTGGTGTATTTAAGGATTTTCAACGTTGTGAAACTGGTGTGTCTCACAGGCTGTTGTCAAGGCCCCACTGGCCTTTTTCCTACTGCAGTCATAATAACCTTTCCATCCTCTTTAAAATTATTTTAAACATTTATTTATTTATCTATTATTTAAAATAGATTCTTCTCTCATACAATACATCCCAATTACAGTTTTCTTTCCTTCCACTCCTAGCTCTCCCCATCTCCCCTATCTCCATTCTCCCCTAATTCACTACCCCTCCATCTCCCATCAGAAAAGAACAAGTTTCCAAGAGACAACAACCAAACACAACAAAACAAAATACAAGATAAGGCAAAAGCCCCTACACAGAGGCTAGACAAGGCAACCCTTCAGAGGGAAAAGAGTCTCAAGAGCAGACAGAAGAATCAGAGACCTTCTTGTTCTCTCTCTCAGGAGTCCCATAAAAATACTAAGCTTAACCTATAATATATACACAGATGACCTGGTGCAGACCCCTGAGTGTCTTATGCTTGCTGCCTCAGTCTCTGTGAGCCTGCTTGCACCCTGCTTAGATGATTCAGTGGACTGTGTTCTCCTGGTGTCCTCCGTCTCTTCTGATTCCTACAATCTTTCTGCCCCTCTTCCATGGGGTTTTCTGAGGTGGGGGATCTGATAGAGATCCCAGTTTAAACCCTTTCTCTGCATAATGTCTGGCTGCATCCACTCCTCTTAGATATCAGAGGAAGCCTCTCCGATGATGACTGGACAAGGCACTAGTCTATCTATCTATCTATCTATCTATCTATCTATCTATCTATCTATCTATCTATCTATCTACAGATCTTGGTTCTACCCTATTTAGGTTTCTGGGCTATTTAGCCTCTGGTTCCTGGTCATCCAAGCAATGTCAGGCATGGGCTCTTTCTTGTGGAGTGGGCCTCAAGTTAAATCAGAGGTTGGCTGGCTACCCTTACAAATTTTGTGCTATCATTGACCCAGAACATCTTACAAGCAGGATAGATTGTAGGTCAAAGGTTTTGTGGCTGGGTTAGTATCCAAGTTTCTCTTTTGATAGCCTGCAGAGTGTGTTCCCACATGGAAGAGATGGGAACATAGGGGTCAAGACTCCATGCAGAGACTGACTAGACTTACCCGTGTTACAAGAGCTGTGTGTATGTCACTGGCAATGTCTGTCCCCACTCCCCACTCCTGTCAGTTTACAGAGAGCATTCCTCTGTCCTAGATCAGAAGATCTGTTTGAAGATCTCCACAGGGCCTCCTCAGCCAAGAACTCAATGGAATGCAACCTAGTTTCTTGACTGGAAGCCTTGCCTGGTTACAAGAGATGGCCAGTTGACACTATATCCCTCATTACTACTGGTCCTCTCTAGGATCGCCCTCATGGATTCCATGAAGTTTCCACTACACTAGATTTCCACACCACTCCCCAAATGCCCCCTAATTCCAGCTGTCTCTCTCTGTACTTTCTCTCTCTGTTCCATCTCCCCCAACCCCTGATCCTTCCCACCCCTAGATCCACCTGTCCCTAGCACACCCAAAAGGATCTATTTCCCCTTCCCTATCTTTTTCTAGGGAGATCCATTTGTTCCCCTAGAGCCACCCTCTTTACCTAACTTTGGGTTTATGGATTGTAGTTTGATTATCATTTACTTAATGGCTAATATCCAGTTACAAGTGAGTACATACTACATTTGTCTTTCTGGGTCTGGATTACCTCACTCAGGGTGATTTTCTCTAGTTCCATCGTTTGCCTGCAAATTTCATGATGTCATTTAAAAAAAAACCCAGCTAAGTAATACTCCATTGTGTAAGTGTACAACATTATCTTTATCTATTCTATAGTTGAGGGCTATCTAGGTTGTTTCTAGTTTCTGGCTGTTTTGAATAAAGCTGCAATGAATATAGTTGAGCAAGTGTCTTTTCGGTAGAATAGAGTGTCCTTGGGTATATCCTCAAGAGTGATATAGCTGGGTCTTGAGGTAGATTAATTGCTAATTTTCTGAAAAATGCCATATTGATTTCCATAGTGGCTATACAAATTTGTACTTCCACCAGCAGTGGAAGAGTGTTGTTCTCCTTGCTCCATATCCTCAATAGCATGAACTGTCACTTGTGTTTTTGATATTAGGCATTGTGTCAGGCGTATTATAGAATCTCAAAGAAGTTTTGATTTGCATTCCCCCTGATGGCTAAGGATGCTGAACACTTCTTTAAGTGTTTTTCAGTCATTTGAGATTCTTTTATTGAGAACTCTCTATTTAGATCTGTACCCCACTTAAAAATTGGATTATTTGGTTTATTTGTTATCTGCATTCTTGAGTTCTTTATATATTTTAGATGTGGAGTTGGAAAAAAACATTTTCCATTTTACAGACTACTACTTTGTTTGAATAATGGCATCTTTTGCTTTATAGAAGCTTTTCAGTTTCATGAGGTCCTATTATTTATTAGTTGTTGATCTTAGTGCCTGGACTATTGGTGTTCAGTTCAGAAAGTTGTCTCCTGTGCCAATATGTTAGGCTGTTTCCCACTTTCTTTTCTATCAGGTTCAATGTATCTGGTTTTACGTTGAGGTCTTTAATCCACTTGAACTTGAGTTTTGTGCAGGGTGATAAATATGGATTTACTTGTATTCTTCTACATCCAGTTTGACCAGTACTATTTGAAGATGAAAATGATATCTTTTTTTCCAGTGTGTATTTCTGGCTTCTTTTATAAAAAGCCAGATGTTCATGTATGTGTGGATTAGTCTGGGTCTTAAATTCAATTCTATTGATCAACATGTCTCTTTTTACGCCAATACCATGATTTTTATTACTATAGCTCTGTAGTACAACTTGAAATCAGGGATGCTGATACCTCCAGCAGTTCTTTTATTGTTTGAGATGGCTTTAGCTATCCTTCCTTTTTTTTCATATGAAGTTGAGATTTGTCTTTCAAGGTCTGTAAGAATTGTGTTGGGGGGCTGGAGAGGTGGCTCAGTGAGAGAGCACTGGTTGCTTTTCAAGAGGACCCTGGTTTAATTTACAGCACCCACATGATACTAACAACTGCCTGGAATTCCAATTTCGGGAGATCTGGACTCTGCAGACACTGCATGTGCATGGTGCACAGACATACTTGTAGGCAAAACACCTACACACATAAAATATAAATAAATAAGTAAATAAATAGTTTTGGAATTTTAATGGGGATTACATTGAATCTGTTGATTGCTTTTGGTAAAATGGACATTTTTACTATTTTAAAGAAAGATTTATTTATTTATTTTATATGAGTACATTGTAGCTGTCTTCAGACACACCAGAAAATTATGTCAGATCCCATTATAGATGATTGTGAGCCACCATGTGGTTGCTGGGAATTGAACTCAGGACCTCTGGAAGAACAGCCAGTGCTCTTAACTGCTGAGCCATCTCTCCAGCCCCATTTCTACTGTGTTAATGCTACCAATCCGTGAGCATGAGAGATCTTTCTATCTTCTGGTATCTTTCTCAATTTCTCTCTTCAAAGACTTGAAGTTTTTGTCACATAGGACTTTCATTTTCTTGGTTAGAGTTTTTCCAAGATATTTTATATTAATAAAGGCTTTTGTGAAAGGTGTTGTTTCCCTGATTTCTTTCTCAGTCTATTTGTTGCTTGTATATAAAAGGACTACTGATTTTCTTTTCTTTTTTTTTTTTGGGGGGGGGTAGTTAATCTTGTATCCAGCTGCTTCACTGAAAGTGTCTATCAGCTGTAGGAGTTTTTTGGTGGAGTTTTTAGGGTCACTTATGTATAGTATCATATCCTCTGTAAATAACTATATTTTGACTTCTTCCCTTCTAATTTGTATCTCCTTGATCTCCTTCAGTTGTCTTATTGCAGAAGCTAGAACTTAAAGTACTATATTGAGTAGCTGTGGAGAGAGTGGACAACCTTGTCTTGTTCCTGAGTTTAGTGAAATTGCTTTGAGTTTCTGTACATTTAATTTGATGTTGGCTATAGGTTTGCTATAAATTGCCTTTATTATGTTTAGGTATGCCCCTTGTATCTATAATCTCCTCTTTCTCCTTCTCCTCTTCTTCTTCCTCTTACTCCTTTTGTTTAGGTAGCACTGGGACTTGAAGCTACAGTTTCAAGTGTGCTAAGCAAGTGCTCCAGTTTTGTGCTCCCCCCCACTTGAGGCAGGTTCTCTGCTCTCCCCATGACTCTTTCCACCCATCAGGGTCCCTTTCTTTTCTTATAAGCTCTCTTCTGTTTACATATCACATTTTTATGGGGTTTGTTTTGGAGACAGGGTCTCATGTAGTCTTGGCTAGTCTTGAACTGGCTAAGTATAATAATTGAGGTTAATCTTGAACTCTGGATCCTCCTGCCTCTGTTTCCCAAGTGCTGGATGATAGACATGCATCTCCATGCCTGTCTATTTTACTCTATTTTGGTGATTATTTCCAACATATAATAACTATGTATTTCATAGGGTGCAGTCAACTTGACACCTGTATGCAATGTATAATGACCAAATCACAGAAGGTTTGCTTAGTGTGTTAAAAACAAAAACAAACAAAAACACAGCAAAACAAAAACAAAAAACAAAAAACAAAACACAAAAAACAAAACACTTAAACAGGAGGGTGAAGTTGTGGTGTTCTTATGTGTTTCAAAATGTTTTAGGGTTGTGTTTGCTTCAACAGCACAGTATTAAAATTGGAATGATACAGAGAATAACAGCATGGCCCTTGCACAAGGATGGCATGCAAGTCATGAAATAGTGACTATATATAATGTCTTACTGTTTTTGAAATAGTCTTCTGTAATCTTACCTAACCTGGGCTCTTGCTATATAGTTCTGTCTGGAATTGGTTCTAATGCTCTGTCTTATTTTGGCTCCCAAAAGCCTCACTTCCAGACCTGAGGTTCCCTAATCCTAGCTGGCTTCCATTGATAATAAAGAATTGCCTTACAGCCAATGGCTGGGCAGAGAGATAGGGCAGGACTTTTAGATTGCACGGGCAAGGAATTGAGTGAGGGGGGAAGAAGGAGGGAGACTCGCCATACAGGGAAGCAGAAAGATGAAACATAAAGGGCCACTGGCATGTAAGAATCTGGGAAAGTGGCCCTAGGGGCCCCTTCCACTATTGGCTCTGGGGTAGCAGAGATGAAGTAAAGATTTTAAAAGATGTTAACTCAGGAATACCTGAGGGGAGTGTTTGTTAGCTGCTGGGAGGTTTAGAAGTGACCATCCATTGAGCTAGTCAAGGCATATCAAAATTAGCTGGTGTGTGTGTGTGTGTGTGTGTGTGTTTCATTCAAGAATCCAGAGAGCTCTTGGGTGGGAGCAGTGCATGTGACCCACCAGGAGTCAAATCAGTTTAACTAATTCACCATAACATAGTTCTGCTGAGCTCTCAGACTCACTCCAGTCTACAATCTTTCTTCCTTTGCCTTAGGAATTCTGGGGTTATAAATGAACAATGAGCATCACCACATCCAGCTCCTGTTGCTTCCTTTTCTTCCTTCTCCTCTTCTCCCTTCTTTCTTCTCTTCTTCTTCCCTTCCTCCTTAACTTTCTTCTTCATCTTTCTATTTTCACTTTTTTGAGACAGAGTCTCTATATAACCTGGCCATTTTGGCTACACCAGCCTTTTCCTTTTTCCTTTCTTTCTTTCTTTTTTTTTTTTTGGCATATAATTACTCACAGAAGTCTCTTATAATCCTTTTAATTTTCATGGCATCACAGCCCTCCCCTACCCCCATCCAGATGTCTTGTTTTGACTAGGATTGCACTACATCCAGCTCAGGCTAGCCTTAAACTCAGCCTTTTGAGGGTTTGAACTACAAGTGTGAATCACTGTGTCCACAATTACTAAGCTTTTAAAAGCCTGTTGTTAGAGGGTCTAAGTTCAAGCCTAGAGTTATGTGGAGGAAGTGGAATTTTTATGGAGGCCAGAAACTTTAATGGCAGTCTGGGTTTTGCCTCAGGGCCTGAAGCCAGAGAAGTCCCAGAGGGCCAAATACAGCTAAGACAAGGTCATGGCACTTACAGCTTCTTGGGAAGTGTGGGGTAAGAAAAAGGCTGACAGAGTAAACTGAGCAGGTCAGAGGACCAGCTGCAGGTCTTGGTAAGCTGGCTTTCCCAGCACCCTCTGTCTAGGGAGGGTCTTACACTGCCCTGCCTCAGTGTCTACACCACCTGGGACTGAGGTTAGGAATTGTCCAATGAATGTGTCTATCAAAGTCATCAGTGGCTTGATTTGTCATTCTTTAGAACCTGGAATATTATGTAGCATGAGGGCAAAAATACCTAAAAACACATATGTCAGTATTTTAAAAAGATCTGCCTATCCATCCATCCATCCATCCATCCATCCATCTATCTATCTACTTTTTTGTATGTAAGTGTTTTGCCTGCATCTATGTATATGTACCATATGTGTGCCTAGTGCTGTGAAGACCAGAAGATATTGTTGGAGCCTCTGGAACTGGAGTTACAGATGGTTGTGAGTCAGCATGTAGGTGCTAATAACCTAACCTGGATCCTCTATAAGACAGCAAATGAATGTTTTTAATAGCCTAGCCAGCCACCTCCCAGCCTTGCATCAGCTTTTGTTTTCTATTTTGTTTTAGATTCCTAGTAAAATCCCTTTTGAGAGACCCTTTATATTATCTAGCATTAAAAGTTTAAAACTTTGTTTTTCAAATCCAAGGCTTATTTGTTCCTTCTGGCAGCTCCGTGAGGCAGAAATCAGTGCCTACACTTTACAGTAGAAGCCATTGGGGCTCAGCCGTGGTGTGGCTTACCCAAGGATGTTTTGCTTATTCCCCAAAGAGCTGCAGCTCAGGCCCTTTTACTAAGTCTCTGTGGACTGAGCTAAGGACAGGAACACTTGTCTGTATTTTGAAACCATTACAATGGAGAGGTGGTGAGAGGAGCGGATGGCTGAGAGGAGACAGCTCAGAGCATGTGCATAAGGATGGGTGCATGAGGATGGGAGGTCCGTTCTCAATACCTGTGTATTTAAGAACAAACACGCAAACAATCCAAACAGGCACGGCAGTGTGGACCTGTAATCCTAGTATGGGTGAAGCACACAGCCAGATGCCTAAGGCTTGCCATCCAGGCTGTCCAGCTGATCTGGGGAAGTAGGTTCAGGAGACATCTTGTTTCATAAAAATAAGGTGAAGAGTGATTAAGGATGATACCTGGCATCAATCCCTGGTGCTCTTGCGTGTGTGCACACACCCATACTCAAAACAATGTGGTACCTAGTTTGCACAAGGCTTAACAGAAGGTATGAAAGAAGAGTATAAGGGGGTGCCATCCAATTTTATGGAACTCACAGCTTAGTGAAAAAGGCAGGAAATAGACACATGATTGTATAAATTCATGGGGGATTGCAAAGTGAGATAAACTTTGAAGGCATTTCTAACAAAGTAACCTGGGTAACCTTGGTGTATAGAGTGTCTTTGTAGAGGTGGGACAGGTAGAAGATGTGAGAAGGGGTGGGTTTGTGAGTGCAGATGGTGTAGATCTGATGGAACTGGGAAAGAAAGATGTTTTGGTACCAGAGTGGTAGTACTATGCACCACCAGATGTTTTCCGCTGATGGAGAGGAAGATACATGAATATTGTAAGTTTAGTTTGGTCATGTGGTGATGTCACATGAAGTTGTATACTTACACCTGGAGTTCAGAGGGATGGGCTGGATTGGTAGTCTGGGAGTCAGAAATATTTAGATGGTATATTAGGGTTCTGCAGAGAAACAGAAGTGATGGAATGAGTAGTTATTACCCAGAGGACTTACAAGATTGTCTTACCTGAAGCAGGCTGGGTAGTCCAGCAACGGTTGTTTGCATGCTGGTCTTAGAGGCTTAGAACCTAGCAGCTGCTCAGTCCAGAAGGCTGGATGTCCCTGCAGTCTCACACTGGTGCAGAAGGGATGGAGTATTCCTGGAGAGGTGTTGGTCTTCAGTCTACACTGGAACTCTGAAGATGCTGAACTGTGGCTGAGAGCATATGCTGCTTGCTCTTCAGAGGACCTGGCTTCAGTTAGTTCCTAATTGCTCATGTTGAGTGACATAATTGCTTGTAATTCTAGTTTCCTCAGGCACCTGCATGGACATACACTTACCAACATACAGACACATACACACTTTTTTTTTTTTTTTTTAAAGAAGCTGGAACAGTGGGGCATGGTGGCACATATCTTTAATTTCAGCACCTGGAAGACAGAGGCAGGCACAGATCTGTGAGTTCAAGGCCAACATGGTTGACACAGGGAGCTCTAGAACATCCAGAATTGCATAGCCTGTGTCAAAAATCAAAAACCAAGAATCAAAAAGAAGCTGGGAACTTTGTGTGTGTCTGTGTGTGTGTGTGTGTGTGTGTGTGTGTGTGTGTGTGTGTGTGTATGTGGTTTCTCTGGATAGCCCTGGCTGTCCTGGAACTCACTCTGTAGACCAGGCTAGCCTCGAACTCAGAAATCTGCCTGCCTCTGCCTCCCAAGTGCTGGGATTAAAGGCATGTGCCACCACTGTCTGAGTAAAGGCCAGAATGCAAAAGCAGTACCACTTCTCCTCTGGAGCTCTCTGTATCATGGTTCTTACTGGATGGTATTGCTCATGGTACTGCTCACTTGGCTGAGGGCCGTCCTTTCTCAGTTAATCACTCCAGGAGTCACTCTCAGGCTCATCAGAGTCATCTTAGTCGACTCCAGATCCACTCAAGGGGACAATCAAGATGTCATCCTAAGTATTGAACATAAATGGGTTTGCCAAGGGACTAGAACACAGCAAGAAGCATGTTCATTTCAAAGTGAACATATGTAAATCCAATGTCCTGACGGCCCTCTGCCTCAGCCCCAACTCCATTCTCCCCACTGTTGAGTTTGGAAATCTGGAGCTGCCTCTGGCTCCCTTCTCTACCTAACATCCCCTGGTGAATCTGTTTTCAGGTTTTGCTGGTCAGTCTTCAGATGCATCTAGACTCAGTCTCTTATTTCCACCACCTCAATCATTATTACACCATCCTGAACCATGGTCACTTCTCATTTAAACTAAGCATTGCCCCGCCCCTTTATGGAGGTCAGATGCTACATAGTCTCTTTTATATCCACACAGCAGCAGGGGCGAGTCTTACTTGTAGACAGATCACTTTACAGGCCTAACTGGCCCAGACCTTGAATCTGCAGCGATCCCCCAGTGCAGGGATTGCAGGCGTACTCTCCAGTGTTCAGCTCAACATGAGTCTTTTAACAAATACATTAGATCACATCTGTCCTCTGCTCAAAATCTTAGTGTTTCCTAGTTTCCTCAGGGGGAAGCTGAGGCAAGATAGGAAGACAGGGAATGACAGTGCCATGCGGAGCACAGCTGGGAGAGGAAGGGACTTCTGATCCTTTGTATTCCTGCTGAGAAAGGCAGGGACTTGAGACTCCATTGAGAAGGACCTAATGGCAACAGGGAATCTGTGGTTTATAATACATCTTATCCAGGTTTGACTGATTCTCAGCACACACATAGTGGGTCATAACTACCTGTGACTCCAGTTCAGGAGTAGGAGGAGGGCTGACACCCTCTTCTTGCTTTCCAGGACACTGAATAAAGTAGCGCACAGACATACATGCAGGCAGTAAATAAACTGCTCTGTTTAGACCCACATGGTGTGTTCACAGAGAGACCTCCAACAAGGACATCAATGATGACTATGACAGTAACTGGGCTCGGCTTACTTAGGGCTAACATGATGCATGACCTCATTGTCCTGGCACTTCTCCCCGCTAG